CTCATTGACTTTACATCATCTGCAAACAGGTACATTTCTGAGTCTATCCCTTCCGTCATATCATTCACGTATACCAAAAATAGTACTGGTTCTAGGACTGACCCCTGTGGAACCCCACTCGTTACAGGCGCCCACTCTGACACCTCGTCACGTACCATGATTCGTTGTTGCCTCTCTGTCAGGTATTCTCTGATCCATTGCAGTGCCCTTCCTTTTATGCATGCTTGGACCTCTAGCTTTTGCACTAATCTCTTGTGAGGAACTGTGTCGAAGGCCTTCTTGCAGTCCACGAAAATGCAATTTACCCACCCCTCTCTCTCACGTGTTACTTCCATTATCTTGTCATAAAACTCCAGTAGATTTGTGACACAGGATTTTCCTTCCCTGAATCCATGCTGGCTGTCGTTTATAAGCTTGTTCCATTCCAGGTGCTCCACCACTCTCCTCCTGATAATCTTCTCCATGGTTTTGCATAGTATATGTCAGTGACACTGGTCTGTAGTTTAGTGCCTTGTGTCTGTCTCCTTTCTTAAAAATGGGGACTATATTTGACGTCCTCCATACCCCAGTTAGTTGCCCAGTTTTGATGGATGTGTTGAAAATTGTTAGTGGCACACACAGCATCTCTGCTCCCTCTCTAAGGACCCATGGAGGGATGTTGTCTGGTCCCACTCCCTTTGAGGTATCAAGTTCACTTAGCAGCTTCTTTACCTCCTCCTCGGTTGTGTGTATTTTATCCAGCACTTGTTGGTGTATCCCTTGTTGGTGTACCCCCCTATTCTGACTTCCTGGAGTTTTTTCTGTCTTCACTGTAAATACTTCCTTAAATCTCATGTTGAGCTCCTCACATACTTCTTGGTCGTTTCTTGTGAGCTCCTCACATACTTCTTGGTCGTTTCTTGTGAGCTCCTCACATACATCTTGATCGTTTCTTGTGAGCTCCCCACCTTCCTTCCTCAGCCTGATTACCTGGTCCTTGACTGTTGTTCCTCCTGATGCGGTTATACAACAACTTTGGGTCAGACTTGACTTTCGATGCTATGTCGTTCTCATACTGTCGCTGGGCCTCCCTCCTTGTGTGTGCATACTCGTTTCTGGCTCTTTGAATAAACTCTTTATTTTCCTGGGTCCTTTGCCTTCTGCACTTTTTCCATTCTCTAGCATACTTAGTTTTTTCCTCCCTACACTCTTAGGTAAACCAAGGGCTCATTCTAATCTTCCCATTATTTCTATTGCCCATGGGAACAAACCTTTCCTCTGTCTCCTTGCATTTTGTTGTCACGTAGTCCATCATTTCATTTATTGATTTTCCTAAGAATTCTCTTTCCCACCGAACCTCCTGCAGGAAGTTCCTCATGCCTGTGTAGTCCCCCTTTTCGTAGTTTGGCTTGCTATTGGTTCATCCTTTGGGTATGACCTACTTTCCCTGGAAAATCCTGTCTACCAGTGACGATGCCATCATCTGCTGCACATCCCTGACGCCTGTATATAAGCGCCAAACTTTATGCCTGTGGTTTGCCAGGCAGGGATAGCACCGGCAAACCTACTGCTTACTATGCCTGTGATTCCCTGAGTTTCCCCAGTGCTCGGACTGCTGCCCAAAGCTGGGGTGTGATTCCAAAAGGATCCTGTAGTGCTTGCTGCCTTTGCACTTCCTGACCTCGTCTGCTGCTACTTCCTTCGAGCCCCATAGGGCAGGGCTAGTGACAGTCCAAGGTGCCTAACTTCTCCCTACGAGCCTCACCAGGGCGAGGAATCGGGCTAGGACTAGGGACAATTGGTCATAGATGATAGGTACAACTACTTCTTCCCGTTAAAACACTCCTCAATGGGGAGCCAAGGCAGGGTCACCAAATGTAGAAGACCTGGGCCGGGACATTACCGGCCTCCGGATGCAACATCCCAGCAATTCCAGGAACAGCTGTTAAAAATTGACCACTGTCTGGAAAATCTTCCAGCTCCTGCACCCAACATCTTGCTCCTGGGGGATTTCAACTTAAGGCACCTAAAATGGAGGAATATAGCAAATAATATTGTTGCAGTAATAACACCAGGAGGCAGCTCTGATGAAAACTCACACTCACACGAGCTTTTAAATCTCTGCACAAAATTCAATTTAAACCAGCAAATAATAGAGCCTACTAGACTGGAGAATACACTAGACCTCATATTCACTAACAATGATGATCTGATAAGAAATGTCACCATATCAAAAACAAATATACTCAGATCACAACAAAAATTGAGGTTCAGACATGTATGCGAGGAGCCCAGACCGACAAATGAGACTAGTCACGAGGGAGCATTCACCAAATTCAACTTCAATAACAAAAACATAAAGTGGGACCAAGTAAACCAAGTCCTAACCGTTTATAAGCTGGGAAGATATACTAAGCAACACCAGACCCAAACTTATGCCTAGAACAGATTAACTCGGTGGCACTCGATGTATGCACAAGGCTTATTCCTCTAAGAAAAAGGAGGAGTAGATGTAAAATAGAAAGAGACAGGCGCTCCCTTTACAGGCGACGGAAAAGAATAACAGAGCGGCTAAAAGAGGTCAATATATCTGAAATGCGCAGGGAGACACTGGTCAGAGAAATAGCAAGCATCGAACTTAAGCTAAAAGAATCCTTTAGGAGTCAGGAATCGCGGGAAGAACTAAAAGCTTATAAATGAAATCGAAAGAAAACCCAAAGTATTTCTTCTCCTATGCCAAATCAAAATCGAGAACAACGCTCAGTATTGGGCCCCTACTTAAACAAGATGGGTCCTACACAGATGACAGCAAGGAAATGAGTGAGCTACTCAAGTCCCAATATGACTCAGTTTTTAGCAAGCGCTAACCAGACTGAGAGTCGAAGATCAAAATGAATTTTTTATGAGAGAGCCACAAAATTTGATTAACACAAGCCTATCCGATGTTATCCTGACGCCAAATGACTTCGAACAGGCGATAAATGACATGCCCAAATGCACTCTGCCCCAGGGCCAGACTCATGGAACTCTGTGTTCATCAAGAACTGCAAGAAGCCCCTATCACGAGCCTTTTCCATCCTATGGAGAGGGAGCATGGACACGGGGGTCGTCCTCAGTTACTAAAAACAACAGACATAGCCCCACTCCACAAAGGGGCAGTAAAGCAACAGCAAAGAACTACAGACCAATAGCACTAACATCCCATAAACATAAAAATCTTTGAAAGGGTCCTAAGAAGCAAGATCACCACCCATCTAGAAACCCATCAGTTACACAACCCAGGGCAACATGGGTTTAGAACAGGTCGCTCCTGTCTGTCTCAACTACTGGATCACTACGACAAGGTCCTAAATGCACTAGAAGACAAAAAGAATGCAGATGTAATATATACAGACTTTGCAAAAGCCTTCGACAAGTGTGACCATGGCGTAATAGCGCACAAAATGCGCGCTAAAGGAATAACAGGAAAAGTCGGTCGATGGATCTATAATTTCCTCACTAACAGAACACAGAGAGTAGTCGTCAACAGCACTCTAACAGCACCTTTCAAGGCAGGTGAAATTGCCGACCTAGAAAATGTACAGAGAACTTTCACGGCGCGCATAACGGAGATAAAACACCTCAATTACTGGGAGCGCTTGAGGTTCCTAAACCTGTATTCCCTGGAACGCAGGCGGGAGAGATACATGATTATATACACCTGGAAAATCCTAGAGGGACTAGTACCGAACTTGCACACGAAAATCACTCACTACGAAAGCAAAAGACTTGGCAGACGATGCACCATCCCCCCAATGAAAAGCAGGGGTGTCACTAGCACGTTAAGAGACCATACAATAAGTGTCAGGGGCCCGAGACTGTTCAACTGCCTCCCAGCACACATAAGGGGGATTACCAACAGACCCCTGGCAGTCTTCAAGCTGGCACTGGACAAGCACCTAAAGTCCGTTCCTGATCAGCCGGGCTGTGGCTCGTACGTTGGTTTGCGTGCAGCCAGCAGCAACAGCCTGGTTGATCAGGCGCTGATCCACCAGGAGGCCTGGTCACAGACCGGGCCGCGGGGGCGTTGACCCCCGAAACTCTCTCCAGGTAAACTCCAGGTCCAGGCAAACCTAATGCTACTACTACTGCCCCTGCTTCAGATTCTTCAAGACTACGGTGCTCTTCAATTTCAAAGGACTGATTACCTCATCTTTTGTATATAATGCTACATACTTTGCATTATGTCCTTACATTGTATTGATAAAGTCAATGGTTGGCGAAACGTCTACAAATAAAGATACCAAGATACTGCACATGTCTAATTCATCTTGTGGGTACTGTATACCATTCATGTTCAACCTAGGTAAATAGGAGACATTCAGGTTCGATGCATGGAAAGGGAGCAAAATCATCAAAGAACATTCCTTGATAAGGATGATTCCTTCAGACAAAGTAAGCCTAGTACGTACAGACGAGGTAGACTTAGAAAATGTAGCCACGATGATCATGAACCTGAAACGAAGGGTGACGAGAGAGAAAAGAGAGAAAAATATGTTTGAGAAGAACAAATATAGTAGATGATTGGAACAGTTTGCCTAGGGTTATTGAAGCTAAATTTGGATTGAATAAATACAAGGAGTGAGGGGGATGGATTTCAGTGGGACTTGCACACTAGTTTATAGGACTATCAAAACTTATTGCTTGGGTAGCACTGAAAATGGGTTGGACAATTTTTTTTTTGTTAGTGGGTTCTGGTTTGAGAAAGACCTGCCTAGTATGGGTCAGTAAACCTCTTGCACTGTTCCTCCTTTCTTATGTGGGGTGGATTTAAGCTCCAGGCAGGTTGGGTTGATGCACCACCAGGAGCATGGGTTCAAGCACCACTAGACGGTGGATGGGTTGAAGCATCACCTGGAGAGATGGGTTGAGACACCACTAGGCGGGGGAGAGTCGAAGCATCACCAGGAGGGGAGGTACACAATGGGCGCGTGACTGAGGCTGAGGTAGGAGGCATTGTAGCCTCATGTGATCCCTGAGTCATGAGTTTTCCGCAGATTGCTAAACGGCTCCAGCTCACACACTGATGCTGTGGCCTAGCTCTCAGTGTATTCCTCGGTGACCCACGCTGTGGTCACCTCCCTCCCTGGCTGCCTGCCTACAACAGCCAGGTCAAACTCTTGTCTTCCCAAGTTAAAGGTTAGTCTACCTACCTCCAGGTAGGTAGGTCTCCCCCGGTGTGTATTCAAGCCTAATCCGCAGGTCATTTCCTTGGGTGGGAGTTGCCTATTTGTATTTAAAGGAGCAAGGCTACGCTCGTATTTGCCCCACCTTTAGTATTTAATCTATCCTATACATTTTTAACACTTCTCATGGTTGTAGCACATATTACATCCTCCTGTAACTTATTTCGTTACTCTACCATTGTGAGAAAAAAAAAACATCTATTCCAGGCTGATTTTGTGAAGATTTTTCAACTACTACCTATTGTTCCCATTGTTAATAGTGCTCAGATTTTTTTTACTCTACACACACACACACACACACTTCATACCAGTTATATTTCTGGTATATAGTGTGGGTGCGACCACTTTATCTTTCCCACATATCTTTTATTTCAAAGTCTTTTCATATGCTTAGTTTATTTTAATCTTGTAGATTTTTTTAGTAATTTTTATGACCTAATCTGTATGATTTTTACACCAACCGATGTTCACATAATTTGTTATTCCTTCTGGTAAATCATTTATGTAATGTATGCACCTGAGTCGAGAACTGATCCTTGTGGATCCTTCTGGTGACATTTTCCTTATGAGAATATTTTCCTTTCACTTTTTCACATTTTTTCTTTCAAAGAAAATGTCTCATGTACTGCAATAGTGTACATTTCATTCTTCATATACTGAGTAGCTTTTTTTAAATGTAAATAAATGCAATCTGTCTATCTGATTCTTGAGTAATATGTGAATAATATAGTAGGTTAGTAGATTTGATATACGTACAGGATTGTTCTCAGTTTAACCAAACTGTTTGGTTAATAACAATGTGGATTGTCTTAGTTTTCTGAACACTAACCTAACAAAACTTTGATTAGTAACAATAGGAGAGTCTTTTGCCTTTCTAATTCTTTCCTAATCAGACTTCGAATTTTTAACTCGGAATGATTAGTTACCCAGGATAACCCAAGAAAAACAGTGCATCATCAAGGACTATTTATCTTACTTCATTAAGATCCTTTAATCCTTACTGTTAGTAGACTGATGCGACCCGCATGTCTAACACTCAAGTACCTAATTACTGCTAGGTGAACAGGGACAGCAGGTGTAAGGAAACATGCCCAAAGTTTCTACCAGGCCGGGGAGTGAACCACAGACATCCAGTATAGTATTATCTTTCTTCTCTTTGAACCGAGTCTAACCTCACCTAAAACTGTACATATAACACATAAAAAATGTACATATAACACAAAAACAGACCTCGGAGTGATTCATGTGTTGGATGTCCCCAAATGAAGTAAATTAGTCCTATGTACCACCACCTCGTCCCTTCTCACAGCAGAATCATGACTAAGATTGTCTCGTCTCTCTCACTCTTGACTTGCTTCCCTGTGCCTGACATCCGACACCTTGGAGTTGTGCTTCTCTGTTACCTTCACTGATTGGTTTGATAAATTTATCAACATGTCGGTTCTCTGAACCATTCATCTACAAAACTGATTGGTTTCACTGCTGGGGCTAATTATTTTGATGGTTTTATGAGGGACCCTCTACCCATCCTGTGGGCAGTATCCACCATATACCCATCTGTAGGCATTAGTCAACCCATATCCATCCTGTGGGCTGTAGTTAAAAGGATTACAAAGCCACATAATGGGTCCAGGACCTAGGCTTCAACATTCTGTTAGTTAAGGAAGATAGCAAGTCCGTACGATATAATGGATTTTGACAACCACCTATTGAGTTTTATATAATTAATTACCCATTTATGTTTGTGGGATTGAACTCCATCTTTCGCCAGAAATTAACCTGTGATAAACATAATAAACCTCTGCATGAAATCCAACAAAATAAACAGACTCTTGGATGCCACAACTGCGAGACTCTGGCTGGGTTACCAGTATCACTGGCAGGTTAAATCACCAAACTAAATGTAAACTTTGCCAGACGGACAGATAAAGTGAGTTAATAGAGTGATAGCTGGATGATGGAAATTATCGTAGATAAATGCAATGTAATGAAAATGGGACAAAGTGAAATCAGGTCACATGAAGAATATAAGACTGAGAGAGAGAGAGAGAGAGAGAGAGAGAGAGAGAGAGAGAGAGAGAGAGAGAGAGAGAGAGAGAGAGAGACCTTGAGCTGCTAATAATGAAAACTTAAGTCACTGGGAGATCATATAAATGAAACTGAGAAAAACTCATATAGTAAACTTTCGGATTATAAAATAACTTTTACTTTTAAATGCTAAAATAATTTCTTAGTACTTGCAGCATGGATAACAAGAAGCCACAGTTTAAAATCTATGAAAAGTGGGGAGTAGGAATAATAGAAAACATTTCTTAGCTGTGGTTGATCAATGAAATGTTTTAAAAGAGTTGACATTAAGTGCCACAACCATTAGACGTTTAAAAAAATATACGATGAAAATGAGACTGGATACCATGAACATAAGTCTGCTACTGTAACTTCTAGAGGTAATTAAACACATTTATTTCTCGTATGCTATAAAACGCATGTTTAACAGGAATCATATTTCTTGAACCTGTGTGTATGTATGTGCTTAATATTTGTATATATATAATATAAACACACACAAAAAGAAGTCAGTCAAGAGATTCCACAAGTGTAAGAATGGATAAGCTTCGCAGTTCACCAGCCAGCACGGCTCTGACGAAGACAATAGAGAACCTGCAACTCACCCAACTAAGGATATTCCCGCAACACACACCACAGCATGTACTTTAATACCTTAACTTACACCTCCCAGGCATCCTTAACCCTTAAACTGTCCAAACAGATCTACGTTCATATGCGTAGTGCTCCGAAAGTAAATCTACGTTTTTTTTACATATTTTCAAATATATATATAAAAAAAAGTAGATCAAAGTTTTTTAACACGTTTTTAAATGTAAAAGACAAAAAAAAGAGAAGGTCTACGTTTTTTTTACATACTTTCAAATGTTGAAAAAACGTAGATCTACGTTTGGACAGTTTAAGGGTTAACTAACACTAAGCATGCTAATACCAACACCATGCACCAGACAGTTAACACTAGCAACTCATCCAGTACTTGTCCTAAGCACGCCCACAACTCGCACCACAGAGGCCGTACCTACACTTCTCCATAATTTCTTCCAGATACTGTCACCTGCTCAGAGAGTACAACCTGAACTCTGCTACACGATGGCATTTAAAGGGTGGTTTATCTACAGATGGCGACAGGTAAGACGTGCCAGTTTGTAAATTTATGGAAGATTTCATGCTAGATAACGTTTTGACAGGTTCTATGAGAAATTACCTGCATGAGGTTTACAAGGTGCCTGAATTATTACGTGCAAGCAATCTGGGTGTGGTAAGTGGGGCTTAGTCACAGTACGTCGCCGAACTGTCACTCCCTCGATGCCCACTTCATCACCACTCTCACAAAAAACTAGGCCTAATATTAAATTAATAATTAAAATATTAAATATTAATACCAATAATGGTAAATTGTAAAATAATGTGGACTGTATATGATTTGATTTTCTGGGTACACAGAATATAATTATTGTACATAAATTATAATGTTATTAGAAAAGAAATTCATATTACCACTTACTTTAATTACTGGATCACTATTTTTATTTGTAAGACACCCTAACGCTACCCTAATAGCTAGAGTTCACAATGGCCACTGCAAAAACTACTATACATTATGGGTAAGCATCACTTAGCTAAGGGGTGTTGCCGGGAAGAATTGGAGTCCCCTATTTTTCTGTAATTGTAGTTGAATTTTAAGGGTTTTCCACACTATTTATCTCAATTCTTCAGTGGGATTAAGGCCGACTTACACCAATTTCAGATTAAGGCTGATTTACACCAACTGATCGTCATGACGCCTGATTACATGACTACTGTAGCAACCAGCGTAGACACAATACATTCACTATGGCATCCTCCCCCGTCTGCTGTTCCACATCCCCCCTCACTCGAAATTTCTGGAAGGGTCAAATCAGCATCACATTTTAATACACAATTATTATATTATTCAAATTTACTCATGCTGAATTAATAAAATTCAAAATTTTCCACAGATTCATCCTTTCCATACTGAAAATTGCTTAAATGACGCCTCCCTTTTGGTTTAGCATCGAGGAAGGTAGCGGGTTCTTTTCGTAAGATTCTCCTGCATGAATAAAACTTGTTAAGCAAATTCACTCACATTCTAATACACATTTTTTTTTACACTTTCGTCTTGGAACTTTATATTTAATATCTCACTTCTCATACATTTTCTACAATTCAGTGGTTTTTGTCATCGTTCTTGACTTTGTTTTACCTGTCTCAATTAAAAAAAAAACTGAATTAATAGGCTGGTTTTATCTTACATTTGTTTATATTTTTATTCTTCCCTCTTTTTTTTTCACTAGGTTTTTGGAAAATGTCTAAAATCTTTGTTGTGTCTATAATACTTCTGATGGGTGTTAAGCTGTAGAAAAAAGTTCTTTTCTTCATCTTGTTGGCCATTTTTTTTGGCAGCTTCCCTCGTTCTTTGATAGGCATTTTATAACTAATAATTATGTCACTGAAGTTTTCCTATATTCTTTTGTGTCTTATTATCTTATCAGTTCTGCACTATGTTTGACCTGATTGAGTGTTAATCGTAACAGTTACTTATCTTTTCCTAATTTTCTGATTTATCTGTATCCTGCTATGTACTCTTTACTGCTAGATGAATTTCTCAAAATGGCAGAAAACAATAACTTTTGCTGTGTCGAATATTATGTGTAAGTAATTTAAAATGACCTTTTTCTTGCTACAGGAGCGGGATGTTTGTTGTGTCATGTCTTCAGTCATTTATTCATCATTATAATCCTTTTTTAAATTTTCAGTTATTGTAGCACTTACTACATTATCTTTTAATTTATTTCAGTGGTTACCACTTTGCAAAGAAAAAATTTCTAGGATCCCTTCGCCTTCATTTTTTTTGTTGTAACTGTGACCTCTTGTTATCCCTTTTGCTGGTACGAAGAAATTCTCTTTGTATCTATTTTTTTCTTGTCTTGTTATGAAGTGTCGTTATGTGTGAGCTATACTATGTATTTATGATAAAAGTACATATATTTTACCGATTCGTGTGTAGATCTGTGCATCGTGCATGGTGGTGTGTGCAGTGTTGTGTACTGGCACTGTAGTGGGATGGTCTGTGGAGGTGTCTCGTATCATGCAAGACCCCTACGCTAACTTCAACCTCACTGTTGACGACCAGGAGTGGCTTGGTGAGTGACTTACTTGAACCAACTCTCCTTCTTTCTCTTCCCTCCATCCTTACCAATTAATAGAAACCAGCTATGCCGAGTGAAACCTTTGAAACCCCTGTAGCTGATGAACTTTTAACTGAATACTTGACAATATCATCATTGTCATACTGAAGTCTCCCGTCTCAAGCTGACCGAGTTTTAGTACTATATGTGTATGTAATCTGTCCTATGTGATGGAATATGACGATGAAACGGATTTTGTTCCCACTATAACTATCATAGAATAGAGCAGCATCTGATTTATCTAATTTTGCTAAATACAAAATTTTCCACTCGGGTCAGATAAGATCAGGTCAAACCTATCGTGCTTGACTTTTTTTTTTTTTTTTTTTTTTTTTTTATTCGCCGGTATTCTCCCATTTTATCATAGAACTCAAGATTCTTGAGGCCTGAGTTTACTCTTCACTGACGATATGTTATCTTTTTTCGAGTGTTATTCTATTCTTCAAGCCCAGTGCGAGGTCGAATTAATCTTTTCAGATGTTTTTCTGTTCTTTTAGAATTTGCATTGTATTCAACGATATACATGTGTAATACCTTGTTTGTGTGCTACTGGCATAACACCGTGTGTGTGTGTGTGTGTGTGTGTGTGTCACTAGCATAACTCCGTGTGTGTCACTAGCATAACTCCGTGTGTGTCACTAGCATAACACCGTGTGTCACTAGCATAACACCGTGTGTCACTAGCATAACACAATGTGTGTCACTAGCATAACATCGTGTGTCACTAGCATAACAATGTGTGCGTCACTAGCATAACACCGTGTGTGTGTGTGTGTGTGTGTGTGTGTGTGCGTGTGTGTGTCACTAGCATAACACCGTGTGTCACTAGCATAACACAATGTGTGTGTCACTAGCATAACACCGTGTGTCACTAGCATAACACAATGTGTGTCACTAGCATAACATCGTGTGTCACTAGCATAACAATGTGTGCGTCACTAGCATAACACCGTGTGTCACTAGCATAACACCGTGTGTGTGTTTATGTCAGTGTCGTGTGCTGGTGTGGTGGCCATCTTCACGACGGCCGGCAGCGGCTTCTTGGTGGAAGCTGTGGGTCCCTGTCGTCTCCTCAGCTTGGTGCTGCTGCCCGCCATGGTCGGCTGGATCTTTATTGCAGCCACGGAGTCTCTGGTTTGGATCTTCTTGGGGCGAATCATCACAGGTGGTGTGGGTTTTATGCTCACCACAGTGGCGCAGGTAGGTGGTGAAGGTTTGATAGCTGTATTGATGCGTAGTATAGTCGAAGGATGACGTTTTAGTTTAGTTAATTAACACGTTTTCATTTCAATAAAATATTTTGATATTACTTCTTATTGAGTCAAAACCAACACCCATCAACTACCATCAACACCCCATAATTAACATGAACAACCACAGCCTTACAACCGATAAACATCCAGCAACGAACATCAACCCCCACAACAAATATCAACCCCTACACCATCAACATAAACCTCCTACAGTTGATCCCCAAGTCATCACAGCCTCCCCCTACAGTACTGTTTCTAAAGATTTCTGCTTAAAGCCTAAACAATTGCAAGAGTTAACTCAGATCAATTAATTTCTGTACTGATATCCAATACACATAGAGGAAATGTAGATGAACTCTTCTCTATGCTAAAAACTCTAGATCCAAAGACTTTTAATTTATAACTCTTATTTAATAAGTATTATGCACCCCATACTCATCCTGTGGCTGTAGTTAAAGGATCAGGGACATATAAAGGGTCCGGGGAGTGGGCACTCATGTAATGGTAACTAAGCAAATTGAATGATTGGTGCTAATGCCTTTGACTGACATTTTATTCCTATATTCACTGGGAAGTGAGAGACCGTAGCGATCGTAGGGCCTGGGGAATGGGAGGTAAAAAAAAAAAAAAAAAAAAAGTTTGATTCAGTAATAGGAAAGGTAGCTACAATTTCTTGAGGCAAGAATCCATTTCCAGCATCAAGGCAGTCTTCCTTGAGGAAGCTTACACAAAATTATTATCTTCAAAAACACGCTCGCTGTATAGCCCTTGTGGCTTAGCGCTTCTTTTTGATTATAATAATAATTCAAAAACACGCACGAAACTCAGATGGGTCATAAAGTGATGCTCTTAAACAGAGACAAAGTTGATGATCATCGACTAGCATATGGTGTGGCTTTCTCCTACCAGGTGAAGACGTTAGGTAGATTGTCTTACGATTAGCGGAAGGACCTTCTAGCCTGCATCAGTCCTTTCGCTGAATGATTCACACTGGTTTAGAGCTTCACATAAAACTGAAATCCTTCCTGCAGCCTCTGCTAGCGGAGATGTGCACTGCTGACGTGCGTGGGTTGCTGTCATCGCTGCCCGAGATGATGGTGAGTGTGGGAATGCTGCTGGTATACGTGTTGGCACGCTTCCTTGACTGGCAGAGCACTACCCTCGTCTGTGGGCTCCTTCTCTTCCCTGTCACCGTCGGTGTCCTTTTTGTGCCCGAGTCTCCATACTGGCTCCTCAAGAAAGGAAAGGAGAAGCTGGCTCTCAGGTGAGAAGTTCTTTTAGGGTTCTTGAAAGGAGAGGATAGAACAATTTCTTTAGAATCGAGGGGTTCTGAAAGAGAGGAAAATTTCTTTTTGGATTCTACAGATGAGCTTTTGTTTAAGGGTAGCTGGTAAGACAAGACTTAGAAAATCTCGCTAGGAGTTTTCTGGGTGTGAGTGTTTTTTCTCGTTTTAGAGGTGAAATTTTGAGCAGAGAAGTCCTTTAAGAGTTAGTTTTGAAGAGGGCTGTTCAGCTTTTAAATACCTCTGGAATTTACATCAAGAAATGTAGCAGACACTATCAAGAAATGCAATGGACACTGCTAAGAAATGTAATGGAATTTCTCGGGGTGAAAAAGCAGTGAACGTTCTTTTTTTTTTAAATAGTGATATTTACTAACAGGTTTAAATGATGGGCGGGCGGAGTAGCACACGAACTTAACTAATATCAGTGTTGGTTATAACATATTTTATTACTGTACTTTAGTACAGCATATGAAAAGCACTTGTATGGATTTAAAGTTATTTTGTAGAAGAAAAGAGAATGAACTTAAATTGAAAATGTTGTTATTATGATTAATTTGGAGATTAGGTTAGGTAAAATTTGTCAGGAAACAGGACAAGTGTTTCCTGAAGCGGGTCTTAGTCATATGATGACCCGCAGATGGAGTTTTTGGTCATCTGACCGAGGCCTTCCGCTGGTTTACCCCTCCACCCCTTAAAAATTATAGTTAGGATTATAACCATTTTATGATTAATTTTGATTAGTGTACAAGTGGCATGTATTCAGTACCTATAAAATTAAAACGTGGAAAGGTATATTTTATAATCCTGTCAAGGTATGACAAGGTTAAGACAGAGAAAAAGTGTCTCAGTAAGGTCAGTGGGTGGATTTGTATGAGGGCTACAAGGGTCGGTGGTTTTGGAATAAAACATGAGCCCTAAGTTTAGGGATCAGGTCTTTGGAACGCTTTTGACGAGTCTTGAAAGCCCTAATCCTGCATAAATCAGTTATCTTCAGCTGAGTCATACACAAAGCCATATAATTCAATGGCTTGCCTTCGTTCTGTCGTCATCTCTCATGTACTCAGAAGAAAGTTCAGATGAAGTTCCGTAAATCTAAATAATCTGAGTCAACTGAACAATCTGTGGTAGCCCATAATTTGATCAATGTATCTTGCACACTCATCCTTTCGTCGGTAGCCAAAATGATTAGAGATACATAATGGGTCCGGGGACTTGGCCCCAACATTGTCATAGCTAAGCAAGTTACAGTTGTTGCGAACTATTTACGAGAGTAATTAATTTAGTTAAAGAAATGATGAATTAGTTACACAGTACGTGAATTCAGTTACACGAACATTACAATGTATGTTGATGTGACTAATTCCCTGTAAAAGAAGCAGCATCAGGATTGATAATCACGTGTATACCGCAGGGCCCTGATGAAGCTGCGAGCTCCTGAACATGATGTGGACTCCGAACTTAGCAGTATCCGTGATGCCCTCAACCAGCACGCCCAACACAGCTCTTTCCTGCAACAGGTGGGTACCGCTTTCATCTTACGATTATCAGAGGGGTGGATTTATAGAAAAGGGAGAAAAAAGAGATGACCCAGGGGTCAAGCGTCATCGTGTCTACATTAATAGTATAGAATACCGATAATTGATGAATAAAACGCATGTGTAACACCCGAGTACCTTTATTGTTGGAGACGTTTCAGATTTATCAAGGCTGAGGGACTAAACACTACAAATTATCCCTCCACTTCTTCCACAGTCCCCAGTATTTATTCTGTAATGGACTGTAAAAGTCAGTGGTTAGCGAAACGTCTCCATCAATAAAGATATCTAGGTGTTCCACATGAGTTATTCATCAGTTAATCGTGTCAGCTTCATCACTTTTATCTACTCCCGACAGTTCCGATCACTGAAGGAACCAGGTAACTACCGGCCCGTCGTGCTGGTGACCGGAATCTTCATCCTGCGGGAGCTGGGGGGCGCCATGGTGATCTTCATGTACGCCGTGTATTTCTTCGAGAATGCTGGGGTGACCATCGACCCCTTCACCTGCTCTGTGTTGGTGGGCGTGTGTCGTCTGGTCTTCACGCTGATTTCCGCCGTCGTTATTGACAGGCTGGGCAGGCGGCCTCTCCTCATTGTCTCGTCCATCGTCTGTGGTTGGCGCCCTCTTTGTTACTGGTGAGCTATCATGGTGTAATTATGGTGGTGTGCTATGGTAATTATGGTGTAAAAGTGGTGGTAGCCTGGTTGGTGTGATAGTTGTTAATATTATCATTATAATCAGCTTAAGCGCTAAACCCCTAAGGGTCATACAGCGCTGTGTTAGTTGTGGTGCAGTAAAAGTGATGGTAGTGATATTATTGTGGTGGTGATACTGGAGCAAATACGGAACGTAGTGCGAGAGGTTTTTTCAGACCCCGTTCATAACACGTCTTCCCTCCTGACGTGGCTGCTGCAGGTGGGGTGCTATACTCCGACGACCAAGGGGTGGGCTGGGTGCCCCTCACAGCAGTCATGGTCTACGTGGCATCCTTTGGCCTGGGCACGGGCCCTGTGCCCTGGATCCTCCTAGGAGAACTGCTGCCCACGCCCGTTCGATCTCTGGGAGCATCGATATGCACCAGTATCTTTGTCATCTCTCTCTTCCTTGTCACCCAGGTTCGTACACCCTCTTGTTTACCAGTTGACCATCAGGCTAATACATCCTTTTATTTATCAGTTGACAATCAGGCTAATACATCCTTTTATTTATCAGTTGACCATCAGGCTGATACATTCTTTTATTTATCAGTTGACCATCAGGCTGATACATTCTTTTATTTATCAGTTGACCATCAGGCTGATACATTCTTTTATTTGTCAGTTGACCATCAGGCTGATACATTCTTTTATTTGTCAGTTGACCATCAGGCTGATACATTCTTTTATTTGTCAGTTGACCATCAGGCTGGTACATCCTTTATCACAATTTACCATCAGTTTAATACACCGTTTTGAGTTACCATCGTTAAAAATGAATCAAGACCTTCCAGTATTTTATTACAATGCTAAAGCTTTGCCTTAGGTACCTTAGATGATCATAAATTGTCGAGGGTAATAAAAATGTAACCTGTTTGTGTTTAATGAAGGGAAGGATGGTGGTAAAAAGACCTTTATTAGTAAGATGCTTCACCAACATGAGACTTCATTGGTACTTAATAAAGTCTCTTACAGATAAACATCGGAAATAAAGTGCCATTTTACCACTTGTTAACTACGCCATACTTCCATCATATCATGAAGCAGTGAACTCGTGTGGGTCCTTCAGAGTAAGGAACAGTGTAGGCTCGTTCCTCCGTCTTACATCAATAATGATATCACGTCTTGCTAACAGGTGTTCCCTGACCTGACTATCGCCATCGGATTACGGAACGCCGTCATGGTGTTCGGTGCCTTCGAACTCCTGCTGGCGCTGGTGCCTTCCTCTTCCTGCCGGAGACCCGAGGCCGCACCTTGGAGGACCTGCAACACGCCTTCGTCGGTAGCTCCGCCCTCACGCCCTTCACCCACGCCACCCGCGAGGGTTACACTCCCGCCTACGGTAGCACCTTCCCTTCCACATCACAGGTTATGGAGAAGGTTCATTAGATTGTGGGTGACATCCAAGTCTGGATGACTGGGATTCACCTGCTGCTGTATTAGTTTTTGGGTGACATCCAAGTCTGGGTGTCTAGGATTCACCTACTTCTCCTTTAGTTTGTAGGTGGCATCATCTAAGTGTCAGTTTCTAGGTGACGTCACTCAAAGTCTGGGTGTTTGGGATTCACCTGCTTCTTCCATTAGTTTGTCTGGTGACATCATGTACATCTGAGTGTTCAGGAACCACCTGATAGTTCCCTAGCTTCTAGGTGACATCGTTTATGTCTGAGTGTCCTGCTAGTTCATTAATTTCTAGGTGATATCTGTGCCTGAGTGTCCTGGATTCACCTGCATTGTTCATTAGTTTCTAGGTGACATCATCTGAGTATTTAGTATTCGAGATTAGCTTCCTGGCCTTCCTAAGAAATAATTACCTCAACAGTTGATCTGCTAATTATATATACTTATCAACTGCTAGGATAATTAAGGCCGCACTTGTGTCTACTTACAATCATCAATTATTCTTTTAAATTGCGAATAACGGTAACTCCCACTGAACGTTAAGAGCATCACCTCTCTACGCTCCCGTATTCATCACTATACATAAGCCACATAATGCAATAAATTTATTTTCAAAACGTGTACAGATTATAGATACTGATTCTGCGAGTCCTCAGTATGCACAACATACACTATACTACTTTGATACAGCACTATACTTTGATACAGCACTATACTTTGATACAGCACTATACTTTGATACAGCACTATACTTTGATACAGCACTATACTTTGATACAGCACTATACTTTGATACAGCACTATACTTTGATACAGCACTATACTTTGATACAGCACTATACACTGATACACACTATACTTTGATACAGCACTATACTTTGATTACAAACACTATACTTTGATACAGCACTGTACTTTGATACAGCACTATACTTTGATACAGCACAATATCATACTTTGATACAGCACTATACTTTGATACAGCACTATACTTTGATACAGCAACTATACTTTGATACAGCACTATACTTTGATACAGCACTATACTTTGATACAGCACTATACTTTGATACAGTGCTATACTTTGATACAGCACTATACTTTGATACAGCGCTATACTTTGATACAGCACTATACTTTGATACAGCACTATACTTTGATACAGCACTATACTTTGATACAGCACTATACTTTGATACAGCACTATACTTTGATACAGCACTATACTTTGATACAACACTATACTTTGATACAGCACTATACTTTGATACAACACTATACTTTGATACAGCACTATACTTTGATACAGCACTATACTTTGATACAGCACTATACTTTGATACAGCACTATACTTTGATACAGCACTATACTTTGATACAGCACTATACTTTGATACAGCGCTATACTTTGATACAGCACTATACTTTGATACAGCACTATACTTTGATACAGCGCTATACTTTGATACAGCACTATACTTTGATACAGCACTATCTTTACACTAACTTTGATACAGCACTATACTTTGATACAGCACTATACTTTGATACAGCGCTATACTTTGATACAGCGCTATACTTTGATACAGCACTATACTTTGATACAGCACTATACTTTGATACAGCGCTATACTTTGATACAGCACTATACTTTGATACAGCACTATACTTTGATACAGCACTATACTTTGATACAGCACTATACTTTGATACAGCACTATACTTTGATACAGCGCTATACTTTGATACAGTACTATACTTTGATACAGCACTATACTTTGATACAGCGCTATACTTTGATACAGCACTATACTTTGATACAGCACTATACTTTGATACAGCACTATACTTTGATACAGCACTATACTTGATACAGTCACTACTCTATGATACAGCATTATTTGATTACAGCACTATATTTGATTCAGCACTATACTGTTGACTACAGCACTTACCTGATACAGCACTAACTTTGATACAGCACTATACATGATACAGCACTGACATGATACGCACTATCTGATACAGCACTATACTTGATACAGCATATACTGTACACGCCTATACCTTACAGCACTATACATGATACAGCACTATACATCTGATACAGCACTATACATGATACAGCACTATAACTGATACAGACTATACACTGCACGCACTTATGATCAGCACTTACCTATACGCACTATACACTGATCAGCATATCCTGTACAGCACTATACATGTACGCACTTACACTGGTACAGCACTAACCACTGATACAGCACTATACAGAACGCACTATACACTTATCGATTACTGATCGCCTTATCACTGATACAGCACTATACATGATACAGCACTCACTGATACACATATACATGATACAGCACTATACATTTACAGCATATACATGTACAGCACTATCATGATACAGCACTTACACTGATACAGCACATACACTAACAGCACTATACACTGATACAGCACATACATGATCAGCACTATACTACTGATACAGCACTATACACTTGATACAGCACTATACATTGATACAGCACTATACCTGATACAGCACTATACATGATACAGCACTATACTTGATACAGCACTATACATAACAGCACTTCACTGAACAGCACTGTACCTGATACAGCACTATACACTGATACAGCACTATACACTGATACAGCACTATACACTGATACAGCACTATACACTGATACAGCACTATACACTGATACAGCACTATACACTGATACAGCACTATACACTGATACAGCACTATCACTGATACAAACCTCTCTGTGTATACATACAGTTACCATGTATAACGGAAAAAATGGCAGATGTAGGTCTTGTGCATTTTTGAGTAATAATAATTTAGTGCATTACGACACCTGTCTTCCAGTCTGAGAGATTATTATTTATTATTATATTATTATTCACAGAAAACTCTAAGTTCATATGGGTCACTTAGCCCTGCCCATTGAGGTAGATTATTTATTATTATTATTATCATGGGGGAGCGCTAAACCCGTAGGATTATACAGCGCATGTGGAGGGGGATGGAAGGTATTCAGACTCAATTCAGGGAACCGGAGCACAGATCCAATTCCCTAGATCAAGAGCCCCTCACCAGCGTCAAGGAATCTCCCTTGAGGGGCCGTTAAGGTAGAGCAAACGCTGTTAAATATAAGATTACCGTGTTAATTTTGCTATTCTAATTTTGGAACCATAAACAATAAGTATGAATTTATCCTAGTGATCAGTGACCAACATTACTTACCTAAGTTTTTATATATTTGTTACTTCGCATCGTGTTGATAGTAAGGTTAACAAAAACAGAAAAAGGCCATGAGGGTGAGACGACGTTTTTGGCTACATATACTGAAGAATTGTCACAAGTTTGGCCACCAGCTCTCACTGTTGACCATAAAGCTGTCAAGGCTTTGGCGGCCACCTGTGTGCATCTGGCTGCTGGCAACTTCATTTCCGGATACTTTTGTTTCTCTAATTAAGCACTAAACCCACAAGGGTCATACAGCGCTTCAGGGTAGGGGGTGCTAAAGGTATTAGTAAGTTAGTAAGGGCGGTGAGAGGTGCTAAAGGAACTAGTAAGTAAGTAAGTAAGTTTATTCAGGTATACACAAATACAGTTACATAGAATTATCATACATAGCAGCATATGTGTAGAGAACCTAGGATAACCCAAAAAAGTCAGACAGAGTGACTTATTTCCATTGTGTAATAAATTTGTTACTGTCAAGAGGTCAAAGAGGGATTCCCTTCAGGGAGACGGAGGTGATGCTGGTGCTCTTGATCCAAGGAACTGGTTATATCCCCCTTCCTTAGCTCAAATCACCTGATTGCCTCTTTCCCCAGGCGCTGTATAATCCCGACGGGTGCAACGCTTTCTAATGAAATTAATATGAGAAATTCAACTTTGTTTTTATCTAAATAAGATGAATTACCTATAGATAAAAGAACAGGTAAGTTAATGAGGTACAATATTTTGAATATATTTATTGATATTTATGACGCAAGTAGAAGTATTGATGACGCAAGTAGAAGTATTGATGACGCAAGTAGAAGTATTGATGACGCAAGTAGAAAAGTAGAAAGAAATGTTAACAGCAGATTAATTTGTAGATGGTATTCACGTAGCGAGAATGTAGTATGTGCAAGGAATTTTTAAAACAAGATAATCCCAATGAATATATGATGAAAATAGAGTTTGTTCGCTTTATGTAGGCAGTTACAGTGAGGTATTCACATTATTATTATTATAATCAAGGGGGAAGCGCTAAACCCGGAGGATTATACAGCGCCTGGGGGGGGGGATGTGGAAGGCATTCAGGCTTAATTCGGGGAACTGGAGCACAGATCTAATTCCCTAAATCAAGAGCCCCTCACCAACATCAAGGAACCTTCCTTGAGGGGGAGGTATTCACAGAACAGTTTACTTCATTAAATACATACAACCTAACCTAACCTATGTGTGTGTACATGCATGTGTGTGTATGTGTGTGTGTGTGTGTGTGTGTGTGTGTGTGTGTGTGTGTGTGTGTGTGTGTGTGTGTGTGTGTGTGTGTGTGTGGCACACTTCCCCTAAATTAAAAATGGCATCATTACAATTTTCCGCACGAACTCGGAGGACCAATATTGGAGTTTCTGTACGTTTTATTAAAAGAAATGTTATTCGTACAAAACCTTTCAAGGAACAACTGCATACATTAAAATAAAATGAATTTAGAAAGCTAATACCGCCTCTTACAACCACTTTAAGTCAATGGAATTAGTAATAAGTGGACCAAGAAAATTTGTGATGGCTAAGATCTCCACATACTAGGCTCCTCACCTTACAACGATGTTTCTTGGAAATTTTTGACTAACTCGGGGGAAAAACAGGAGCTTCGAAAGATCAAAATATACAAAATACCAGCCTCTTATGACAAAACACTTGGAAAACAATTACAAAACACTTGGAAAACACTTACAAAACACTTGAAAAACACTTACAAAACACAAAACACTTGGAAAACTTACAAAACACTTTGCAAAACACTTACAAAACATGCAAAACACTTACAAAACACTTTCAAAACTTACAAAACACTTGCAAAACACTTACAAAAACACTTACAAAACACTAAAAACACTTGCAAAACTACAAAACACGTAAAAATCACTTACAAAACACTACAACTACAAAACACTACAAAACACTTACAAAACACGTACAAAACACTTCAAAAACTACAAAACACGACAAAACACAAAACACTCACACAAAACACTAAAAACACTACAAACACTACACAAAACGCGTACAAAACACGTACAAAACACTTACAAAAACACGTACAAAAACAAAACACTTACCAAAGGACCAGTATGATATCAAGTTATTTTTCTTGCACACTCAAGTATATTATTAAACATTAAAACCAGGTGTTTTTCTTTGTAATGATCGTTAGGCTATTATTACAAAAGGCAAATATACAATTCAATTGAGTTTTCAACTGAAGAAGGAAAGATTAGAGCTTGTCTTCGTGATTTATTATAAGTTTATGTGAAGAAAGGACTCGAATAACAGCATGATTTTCGACATCAAAAAATAAGATAGGCCTATAACCACTTTATAGTCTACTGATATAAAAAACTGCTGCACTAATATCTGATATATATTAATATATACATAAAAATAATGTACAAAACTAATCCAGATATGTTGAACCTGCAACTGCAAGTAGCATCATTAAAACAGATAATGTTGATAAATTAGACACGTGTGCAACTTTTGGGTATCTTTATTGAGATAAAGATACCCAAGAGTTGCACATGTGTCTAATTTATCAACATGTCGGTTCTCTGAACCATTCATCTACAAAACAGATAATATTACAGGATCTCTCATGTGTAAGTAATTGTATGTCAGTAAATTGGTAGTCAGTCTTCTCAAGGCTTAATATTAACTTGTAAAATTGTAAACTTGATATTAATTAGCAATAACCATTTGAAGGTGAAAAAAAAATCCAGTTAAGCACTTCAGTTAGAACTTATCTTTAGTTGTTTATGTATTTTTCTACTAATTAAAAAGTTCTTAATGACATTTGATTGCGTAGAAAAACAAAAATGATCTTTACTTTAGATCCAACTTTTTCTTAAGTAAATTTGAAAAGAAAAATTTGAGTAAAATATTATTGTAGAGGAAATGAAAAATTTCTCAATATTTTTATCACTACGAAATTTCAAACAGAATATAGGCTATATGTTTTTCAATTAAATTTAGATATTTTTAGTTAAAAGCCATTAAAGTAATGTATCTCCAAGGTAAACATATATAGTAGATGGATAAAATAAATAAATCACCGTGAAAGGACACTTCTTGTTTATATACATAAAATTTTGGCATAGATTGTTTATATAAGTTGGAATATATTTCTCAGCTGGTACACAATTACTTCCTGATATTTTTGCGTATATATTTTTGCTTCATTGTTATGCTATTAATGCAGTCTGTAATATTTTATTCAGCACTATAATGTATTCACTAAATAAACTGGCATAGTTATAAACTATTTTATTAATCCATGAGAAATGCATATATAAAGTACAAATAAATAGAATAAGACCAGCAGCATTGACAACCATTGCAAACATAAGTGACATTTAGAAATATAGAGAAACAATGGTTCAAAATAGTTTGTCTCCTATGTACGACCAGTTCTCGAGTATGTAGTGCCAGTGTGAAGCCTTCACCTGCTAGTTAAAAACCAAAGTGAATTTCTAGACGTACTGTCCGAGTTGAGGGGAAATATGTTCTTTACAAACTATGAGAGAGTTGGTTTCCCGTTGTTGAAAGAACGGATTATAAGACAGTGATAATGACATAGTAAATGTTGTGGGGAATATGATGACTAGATAAGGCCACGATGTTTAATGTGGGAAGCGCCATGATGAGAAAACACAAGGAACACCCAGATGAGTAGCAGAGAGATGAAGAAATACGTCTGAGTAGTAGTGTCACAACATGTTGGAGGATAATAATCTATATACTTAAATATATAAAGCGAGGCAGCGTAAAATAAATAGGCGGGCTGAGGAGAATGAAATAATGTTTTACCGTGACTTGTACTTAGTGTCAAAACATGGCAGTGTAGCTTATATGTGGTTACGATATTTTTTTACATTACCCAATATTTAGCTATGTATATTTTTCACCTACGGTGAAAAATATAAGATGGTTTCTGTGCAAGGATTTGTATAGATCAGCCTGAGCATATTAACACCAATGAGGACATTTCTTTTAGTGACACGATCTCTAATATTGGGAATTATTAAGTAAGTTTATTCAGGTATACATAAATAAAGTTAAATAGATTATCGTGTAGAGGACCTGGGATAACCCAAGAAAGTCAAAGTGACTTATTTCCATTGGGGTTCTTTATTTTTCCATGTTTAATATTTTGGTAACATAGGCACCTCATTTATATCAGAGGTAAGATATGCTGATGAACGTGTGAATAAGACACAATATGCATTTATAACATTTATTGAGACGGTGTCTTATTCATGGATATCCAAGGATGATCCTCATTGCTGCTGCTGTAACTTCCCACTGCTACAAGGTGGCTGACACAAGAGACAGCAGGTGTGTAGCACTGAACCAGTGATCTCATGTAAGCAAAATTCATCCTACGCATAATTTTTACATTAGCATAATACCTGGGATGAATCCCTGCTCTCCGCCTGTCCTCATCTCTCTCTCTTATCTCTTTCCCTCTTATCTCCTACTTCTCACCTTCCACCATCGTTTTTCCTCGTGTTTTTTTCCTACCCTTTTCCCTCTATCGTCTACCACTCTATTCTCCCTTTATCACCTCTTACCTTTTTCCTCCATCTTCTCTTGCCTCTCCCTTTATCATCCTACTTCTTCTCTCGATCGCCTCCTCTCCTCTACCTCTATCTCCTCCTACCTCTCTATCTTCCTCGCTTCTCTCCTCTATTTAACCCCCCCTTATTTATCTGCCTACTTCTCCCTCTTTCTCTCCCTCTATTTCCTACCTCTCTTCCTCGTCAAGTTCACTAGCCTTTCTAGGATTAGACAGATGTTACAACAGGTGTTCATCTGTCTAGAATAATAATTAAGACACGTTTCACACCAGACTCTATCAGAACAACTGTTGCATCTACTCTTAATTGAAAATACTACTGTAAGTGATACCACAATTATTACTAAGCGCACTACTGTAACTATAACCGCTATTTATACAGCTAGTATTGAACTACTATAGCTAGCATTTCCACTACGACAGTTAAAATTGCTACTTATGCTATCAATATTGTTACTAATACAGT